GTGCTTGTGTCTACGCGTGTATATTATTTTTTTGGGGGGTGGGAATCTTGGGAGAGTTCCCACACTTTATTCCCCAGGACTTGACCCCTGCCGGCAGGGGAGATCTCCGTTCACTCTCCCTTGGACAGCAAGGATCCCTCCTCCCTACATAAGGTAAGAAGGGAGGGGGGTTATTTACTAATCTGCCTTCACAATCCCTCCAAACATACAACAAACATACAGCACCTACACACATACAGCATCCTAACACAAACAGCGCGCGCACACAGCACCCTCACACACACAGCACACTCACACAAACAGCACACTAACAGCACCCTCACAAATACACAACACAAACAGCACCCTCACACATCACACAAACAGCACCCTCACACACACAGCACACTAACAGGACCCTAACACACATACACAAACACCCTCACACACAGTACACTACCAGCAGCCTCACTCACATAGCACACTACCAACACCATCACACTAACAGTACACACACACACAGCACACTAACAGCACACATACACACAAACAGCAGTATATGTATGTATAAATATATATTTATATATATATATAAATCCAACAAGATTATGGTGGTGAAAAATTGTGATTGAAAACCCCTTCCACCTGAAGTCTGTGGATAGTTATTACAATGTTAAACAAAGATCTGCACACCAGTCAAGCCATAAGACTTGCTTTTCCCACAGAAATCCCAAACCTGCAGTGATGTTTCTACCGCAAAGGATTCTGGGTGGGCATATGCAAATTAGTTTAACAAAGAATCACATTTTTGCCTCATTCCATTTTAAACATGGATTCCTTTTAATATGTGTTTGCAGTATACAACTGCTTGGAACACAACTTAGGAAAAGATGCAAAACCAGTGAACCACTCATGGACAGCTGTTTCGTTGTTAATGCAACTCATCAGCATGAGGTTGGTTACTGGTTTACTTATTGAGGCTTGGTAGTGCTTTTTTTGTTAAACTAATTTGCATATGCCCACCCAGAATCCTTTGCGGTTGTAACATCACTGCAGATTTGTGATTTCTGTGGGAAAAGCAAGTCTTATGGCTTGACTGGTGTGCAGATTTTTGTTTAACATTGTATTAACTATATACTTTGTGAGTCCTGCCACCTTTTTGGAGTTTTAAAGGTGTGTTTGTGCTTTAGGGTGCACACCCTAATGCCATAGGCTGTGCACGCCTATGACTCACATCAATTGTCACCTCTCCTTACACATGTTTGAGCATTTGGTGGATATCAGCAGCAGTACATCCTTCTTTGGTCAGAAATTTGATGACAGCTCCATGGTTGAGTTAAACCTAAAAATACAGAAATTATGTCTGCCATTCCAGAGGAGTTACTCTATCTGGTGTTGTAAAGACTTGTGAAGAAAATATCAAACAGCCATTACTTTCAAAACAACCTTTGTATTTATCCGGCTCCTGTTAAATAATGCTCTGAGTATAATATCTACTGAGATTCTGAATATCCTTTGTGTCCCTTGGCTACTAATTTCCATTATGTCTTCATTAGCTCCAACTTCCTTAACGTGGCCACACCTCCACTTAACATATGCTAACAACTTCCTTAAAAGTCAGCTTGGCGCAACAGGGTATTGCCGAACTTGCTAGTATAACAGATTATGTTACCTTCTCAGCTGGCCACGTTCATCCTAAGTGCCTTTGCTGTTATGAATTGGTATGGCTACAAGGAAGTGTGTGGTATCTGTCTTAGACAAACCTCCAGTAGAGGCCCGGAAATCAAGGACACTCATTCAGTTAAATTGATAGAAAATGGTTTAACACTGAATGGACTTCACCAGAGGATTCCAGGCACTCTAACCGATTCAATAAAATGAAAATATTTACAGTGCCTACAGTGTCCCTTTAAGACCTCCTTCTACTTCATGTAGTTTGCTGTAAAGGGATGATATCTTTCCTGGTGTCACAGAGCATCATAATACATTATTAACATTAAATATAACCAACAAACAGAATATTTGTGTTTTAAGAGACATTAATAATTAATCATTTACAGAGATGTTTATTGTAAATGATGAACTCAGATGGCAAGAAGCATATTGCTCTATTTCAATATGTGTTTGTCCTTCAAAGAACTTCTGCAGAAACATGTGTCTTATT